AAGGCAGAAATGGCTTATTCCAGATGCCTTTGGTTGGGGGGCTTTGGAAGAAACCAAACTCTGAGAAAGGCCAGGGCCCTCGTCTTTGCTTATGGAACAGCAAGGGGTTGAAAATGTGGGCTTTGTCATCAGATGGGCCTGGCTGCTGGTCTCAGCATTGGGTGAGTTCTTGCTGTGAGGTTCACGTCCCTTGGCAGCAGAATTGGCCCACTCACACCCAGATCTTATGGGGCACTCAGGCGTGCGTGATGCTTGGCACAGAGCATGTTGCAAAGGCCCCCAGACGGTCCCTGTTGACATGTTTATCAGTGGAGTCCAAACTGTGTGTACACTCTAGGAAGATGTCCAAGCAGTCCAGGGATGGTGCCTCCCAAGACCCCTCGGTGGGTATGAGTCAGCCTTCTGGGGTGCTTGGGCCTACAACTCACTCTGGCCCTCTGCCTTTCATGGCCCACTTTGAAATCCACTTTCTTCATTAAAGGGTCATTTTGTAGATGTGTTTTATAAGAACTTAGTAATTTGGCACCGAAAACCATAAGAGAAAAGGTAGATGAATTTGTAAAACAAACATGAAGTGGGACTTATCAGAAAGTGTGTCTTTGTCTGCCAGTGTGCTGACCCAGCCTTTTTTATAGTGCGTTATTAGGGCTGAATTGAAGTTGGTAGGATCGGGGAAGAGCAGTGTAGCAGAGTGCCCTCTACTTTGAGATGCAACCTGTGTGTAGTAACCACAGCACTTTTATTTTGCATGTGCAATACCAGATCGTCCGCCAGAGTGTCGACGACAAGGTCACAGTCATTGGAGCTGGAGTTACTCTGCATGAAGTCTTAGCGGCTGCTGAGAATCTTTCCCAGGAAGGTCAGTTGGTTGTTGCTAAGTGTTGAAGTTCCAGCTGGGGAGAGGTAGGAGGGTTTGGGCTGCCTCCTGGGCCCCAATTGGTCTTTTTATTTTTAGTCTGTTTTATTTACCAAGCTGGTTATTGCTGTTCTCCAGGTATTTCTATTCGTGTCATCGACCTATTTACTGTTAAACCCCTGGATGCTGCCACCATCATCTCCAGTGCAAAATGCACAGGTGGCCGGATTATCACAGTGGAGGATCACCACCCAGAAGGTGAGTCTTCTCAATGTCTGCTTTGGCAGGCGGGACATGTTTTATTTTCCTTCATTGGAGGTGCCCTGCGCTCCTGGACATCCCTCCAGTCAACCAGTCACCCGATAGCCTTTATTACTGCTCTTCATAAGGATATCAGTTTAGGGGTCTCTCGCCCACCTACACTGACTCCCTAAGGGTGGGGAGTCCTTATTCATTTTAGTGTTCCCAGCACAATGCACAGGGCCTGGGCGGCTCACTGGCAGCACAAGGGAGTGTCTAACTCAGCATTGTGGGCAGGGGAGGGTCGTGAAAAGCTTCACAGTTGCTCTTGAGTTTTGAATGATTAATAATAGTTTTTCCCCTGCCAAGTGAAAGTAGGGCCTTGCAGGCAGAAGACACAGCAGATGCAGAAAAATATGTCAGGGAGTGGGGCCTGGGCAGTGTTTGGCCTGGAAAGGTTAGGTGGGGCAGTAGAGGGGATGAGGCACTTCTTGCCTTCACACGTCAGGGACCCCAAGAGCCCGCCCACGATCCACCATGAGTCTGTGGAAGCGCTCGCTCCCAGTGCCCTCACGGCTGAGGTTTATCACAGGGAAAGGGCACACGCCAGGACTGCGAAGACAGGACACAGAGCAGGGGTGGAGAACCCCAGGCCTTAGGCTCCCGCCCTCCCTCATGGGGAGGGGGGTCTGCCAAGCACTCTCTCCTCTTCAGTAGCGAAAAATGCGTCATTACAAACCCAGGGAGCCCACTTGAGACCCAGCACCCCGGGTGGTATTAGGGGCTGGTCACGTGGGCCTCTGTGCCATGCACACACCACATTTCCCGACTCCCAGAGGAAAGCAGGTGCTCCTAAGGGACCACCTTTATCAGTAGGGAAA